TGGAGTTCAGACACACTCGAAAATGTGCCCGAATCCCTCAAACCAAGGTTCTGATACCAACTTGAAACATCCCTAAAAATATGGTCCAAAAATTTTGTTTTTAATTATTAATAAAAACCATATATAACATGATCAAATAAATATCATAGAACATGTGTCTCAAAAACATCTCATAAATTGTCAAACTATTATAATGTCATATCAAATATCAGAGTAAAATATCCTAGGCTATAGACTGTGGTGTGTATCATGCGATCATCCCAATCCCTTCCCTTTGCTAGAAGAAGTAACTGAAACCAACACTGAAACTGTAAACACGAAGCTTAGTAAGCTCCCCCAAACTATTACATACCATACAAATAACAAGCAACTAGGAGATACCAACCACTCTCATGGAGATTCCGGCCCTGCCCACACTCTGTTGTCTAGGAGATTCGGGCCACACCCACACTCTGATGTCTAGGAGATTTGGTCCTCGCCCACACTCCGCTGCTAACATGCATACAAGCATCACACGAACAATAAGTAGATCAAGCATACATTCATATAACAATACTCAAGTAATGCTACGAGATTGGGGGCCCACCGACACTCAAATACTAACATATCACATGTACGGGTCTAGGTCTTAACTAAGGATCCCATGGAAACCCTCCAAGGTCTTACATCCTAGTGCCTTAAGAACCCCCGAAGGTCTTTACTTAGGATGCCATGGAAACCCTCTAAGGTCTTACACCCAAGTACCTCGGGAACCCCCCCCCCCCCTTTGAGGTCTTTACTTAGGATGTCATGGAAACCCTCCGAGGTCTTACACCCAAGTGCCTTGGGAACCCCCCCCCCCTCAAGGTCTTTCATGCAAGTATCACAAATACAACTAGCATACCATATAATCAACTAGCATATCACATAGCAAATAACGGGTTAAAAACCCTCGAAGGTCTTTACTTAGGATGCCATGGAAACCCTCTAAGGTCTTACACCCAAGTACCTCGGGAACCCCCCCCCCCCCCCCTTTGAGGTCTTTACTTAGGATGTCATGGAAACCCTCCGAGGCCTTACACCCAAGTGGCTTGGGAACCCCCTACCCCCGAGGTCTTTCATGCAAGTCTCACAAATACAACTAGCATACCACATACCATATAATCAACTAGCATATCACATAGCAAATAATGGGTCGGACTTGGTGCTTTCAACCCATTGGTATGGTGATAAGACTCACCTTAGTTTGCTGAACTCGAAAGCTGCTCGCTTAACAGTCCGAAACCACTCGTGCTGAAAAATAATGCCATTAACCCAAAATTAGGATTAAATACAATTTAATTAAAGAGTCCAACTACCTAAGCCCAAGTCCTTCCATAATGGCCCAATAGTCTTTCTGTTGCTAATGGGCTTAAAGTCCATGTCTAAAGCTATTAATGGGCCACATGGCCCATTAAGGCCCAACCAAAACAATCATGACCCAAAACAGATTAATTGGACCACTAACCCCAGAATACAACCAGTCCCAAAAGTGAATAAGGCCCAAAAGACTTACAAGCCCACACGAAGCCCAAAACCAATTGGGGTGCGTACACCCAGTGTACCACTCCAGTAAGCTCAGCGTACTAGTCCCTTAAGTAGTACGCACTGCATACCTTCTACTACACGCGACGTACAAGAAAGACATGCACAAACGACCATTAAGCTCTTAATGCTTAGGATTTTGACGTCTAACTTTAGATCTAAGTCCATTAAGATGTCTTAAGGCATAAAGTTGGCAACTTTATTCATTTGCATGTTCCATATGCTCCCCACAACCCATTAAGACCTTCCCAAGGGTCTTAACTCATGCATGAGGTCAAAACACTCATCAAGACTACATTTTTATGGTATGAATGAACTAAGGGACCTCATATCTACTATTCCTAAGCTCTGGAGTTGCTCAAACTCCCAAGATATGATTCATGAACACAAAAGGAATAATATATAAAACCCTAGCTCAATCTAGTGAATAAGATAGCAAGATTAAGACTTTATACCTCCAGAAGCTCCTCAAAGTGAACTAGATGCAGGATCTTGAAGCCAATGCCACACCAAGCTTGCTCACTAACTTCTTCTTCTTGAATAAGCTCAAAAATGGCCACCAACACACTTTTATGCTCCAAAATCACACTCTCAAAGGAAAAATGAGGTAAAGGGAGGAAATGAGACTCTAGAGGTTGATTATGGTTTAGTCCCAGTGACTTGTTTAAATAGGTGTCATGTTCGAATTTTAGGGTTTTACCCTTCTGCCGCGTACACCCCGCGTGCCTCTTGGTACGCCCAGCATATGTGGCCACCTTCCACGATCATTCATACTTAGTACGCTAAGCATACTCATGGAGTATGCCCCGCATACTATGGGACCATTATGCTACTTTTTTTCATTTCAAAGGTTCAAGGGGTAATTACCAAATTTGGAGTGTTATATTGTTTATATTAAATGAAAATGTAATTTTCCAATAATGCCCTTACCTAATGATTGGTTCATATATATATATATATATATATATATATAATATATATATATATATATATATATATATATATATATATATATATAGAGAGAGAGAGAGAGAGAGAGAGAAAGAGAGAAAGAAAGAGAAAGAAAGAGAGAAAGAGAGAGAAATGTTGTTTGATATGCACAAAAAATAGGTATTTTCCTGTAAGATATGTTTTTTTACAGAAAGCTCCAAAACCACATCTTTCTGGCTGAATAGATGGAATGATAATTATGCCCCAAACCCCATCTCTTTCTTTCTTGGATTACTAATTTCTTTTAAATATTTTTTTTTGAGTTATTACTTTTTTTATTCGATTATTATATATTAATAAATATTATTTTTAATATATAATATTTATGTATTAATTGATATTATTTGATTCAATTATTACTTTCTTTTAAATAATTCTTTTTTTTCTTTTTTTGGACTAATTCTTTTTTTATTTGATTATTATATACTAATAAATATTATTTTATTGGATTATTATTTTCTTGTAGTTAATTTTTTAAATTCATTTTTATTGGATTAATTATTTTTTACAACACCACTATCATCCTAATATATTTTAAAAAAATTTATTCATCCCACCACTATCGGACATAAACCGAGTCATGAATAACTCGTTGAGTTATAAAAAAACAAAAATGGCTAGAAATAATAACATAAGATCAATTTAAAAAACAATAAACTAAAAACAACTTAATCGAAATTATGTTTGGATTTTTAAATGATTATTGTGCAATTTTGATTTTGTATAATAATTTGTAGGTTTTTTTAATTATTCAGCAGCTTCATGCATCATAGTATAGAACAGTAAGGTAATGTTGTCATTTTTCATCATTCAGCACAATCAAAGGGTTTTGTCGTTTGAAGTCAACAATGGTGGTGACCCTTAAGCATGCCACGATTTTTCATTATTCGGCAGAGTCAATCATATGTACAATCAAACAATATGGTTTCTTTCCAATCAGAAAACTTTTCCATATAACACTTTTTCAGACAGTATTTTCCCGAAAATAAACTATCAAACGAACCTAAGATTTTACAAATGCTTGGAAAGATATTGATAAAGTGGAGAGCAACCATATGATTATTATGGTGGTTAGGACATGTAAAAAGAATTCAAACGCCAATCATGCTTAGGAAGTTGGACAAACTAATTGCACATGGTGTAACAACAAGAGATTTACCATTGTTCGTACATGTTTTCTTTTATGGCTGTATTTTGTTTGAGCTTCTAGTCATATGAGTCTAACCTTAGTTTTCTCTTTACTTTCTTCGAATATTTGGTAGTATATATGTTCCAAGTTTTATAGCTATCGCTTGCTACACGATTTATTTCAAGCTTACCTTGTTTGTACTCGTAGCCCATTTAGGCTGACATTGTATATTTTTGTATTAGTCTGAGTTTCTCATTTGTTTTACTTTGAATGTTTGATGATTCTCCTTATTATTTACCACATTGTATATCCATGTTTTATTATTTCTATTTACTTATTCTATTTGTTTATACGTACTATGGTCCCACCTGTTTAATTTATTGAATTATTCAATATTTTTTGTATTGATTGATGGTGTACTAACCTTCAATGTAGGTGATTTTAATCCATGAGTATTGTCTTTTCATATTTTTTTCACTTTTTTTTATCAACCATCTTAGCGATTCCCCTTGACCTATTTTTATAGAGTAAATTACACGAATGGTCCCTATGATTTAGGGTAATTTTCACGTTTGGTCCCTAACTTAATTTTTTAACTCGGAAGATCCCTAACTTAATTTTTTAACTTAGCGATTCCCCTTGACCTATTTTTATAGAGTAAATTAACTCACGTTTGGTCCTTAAGAGTTCAATGGATTGCCACATCAGCATTCCACTAACTATACCATTTAACCTATTAAATTCTACACTCCATTAAATTCTTAAGAGTTCAATGGATTTCCACATCATCATTTTAATTTTTTTTATAAATAATATTAATAAATAAAACTAGAATATTACATTAATTAGAAATTCAAAGTTACAATTACTAAATATTAATTAAAGATTACAATTTAGAAATTATAAGTTACAAACAATATACTAAATAAAAAGTATGATATCTAAAATACAAATTTTACTTCATATTGTATTTTATCTTAATCTCGTCACAACGATTTCTCCAAATTTCACGTCCATCTTCCGACATGGTAGTGGGATCCATGAAAATGATTGAAATTTCATCATTCTTTACCTTTTCTTCTTTAATCTTCATCTTTCTTTCTTTCAATGCATTTTTCATATCCAAAGAGTTTTGATAGCGTTCAAAAGTCTTTTTATTTTCTTCTATATGTTTTTCAAGTATTTCATCAAGCCTATTACCAGATGACGAAGTGGAATTGGTAGCTTTCCCTTTTGCTACTTTTTTTGTTGCATTCCTACCAATTGGACGAGTTGTAATTTCATCATTATCCGGGTTAATGAAAGATTCTGTATTTGATTAAGACATAGATGCCCCAGATGCAGTGCTTGAACCTTTCCATTTCTGTTCATTTTTAACGATATTCCAAATATGTTCGTGCCTAAAATCGGCACCATATCTAGCATGATAATGCTCAAAAGTTGCACGTTTGAGATCATCCTCAGGCCATCCACTGAGGTGTTGACTTTTCAACACTATATACATTTGATTAAATGCAACTGCAAATGGGTTCATGTAATGCCAATGCGTTTTGAGGTTGGCTTGAGTTCTTGCAACGTTCGATGTGTTGCTTTTTTCATAGTATGCAATAATTCGTCTCCAGAACTCTTTATCACGTTGTTGACTTCCAGTAATGCTATCTTCTGAAATTTGTAGCCAAGCTTTTGCCAACAACATTTCTTCTTCTTTGCTCCAGTAGGTTTTTTTATTTTTTTTTCGTTTGTTGGTAGGAGTTTCTGTTGGTGTTGGCTCATTTTCTGGAATATGGGGAGGATCCGAGCTAGTAGAATCTGGGTATGCATTTTGGTATGAATGTTGTGAATGATTATTTGGATTTGGGTATGGATATTGCAGAAAATTGTTTGGACTTGGATATGGATATTGTAGATGATTGTTTGGATTTGGGTATGGATGTCGTGGATGATTGTTTGGATTTTCGGGATCATAAGAAGATAACAAGTGTTTATAGTAATACGGATTCATGATTGGTGTATCAGATGGTTGGTAGGTGTGAATGAGAATATAATATGTTCGTCTTTATTTATAGAGTTGAACATCTTGTATGCATTTTCCTTTAATTTGGATTTCATTCCACTTTAATTTCAATTTCATTTGACTACAATTTCAATTTTATTTAACTTTAATTTGGATTTCATTCCACTTTAATTTCAATTTCATTTGACTCCAATTTCAATTTTATTTAACTTTAATTTGGATTTCATTCCACTTTAATTTCAATTTCATTTGACTCCAATTTCAATTTTATTTAACTTTAATTTGGATTTCATTCCACTTTAATTTCAATTTCATTTGACACCAATTTCAATTTCATTTAACTTTAATATGGATTTCATTTCACTTTAATTTCAATTTCATTTGACACCAATTTCAATTTCATTTAACTTTAATTTGAATTTCATTTCACCTTAATTTCAATTTCATTTTACTTTAATTTCAATTTCATTCGAATATAATTTGGATTTCATTTTACTTTAATTTGAATTTCATTTGACGCTATATTTTTGCTATAAAAGAATACAACGTTTTTATTATTTCATACCTACCAATTCAAACTATTTCTTATATCTTTCTTATACGATGTCATCATCATCCTCAGACGATTCTGCTTCTGAATTCATAATCAACCATCTCACAAGTAATTCTACATTTCAACTATATAAGGAGCTAAAATGCTTAGAAGCAGAACAGTCAGATGATGAAAGTTCAAGACGTCCTGGGCAAAGTCGAAGATATATAGATAGAAATCATGAAGAAGGGCATAAACGTCTTTGGAAAGACTATTTCGATGAGCATCCTGTTTTCCCACCTCAAACGTTTAGACGAAGATTTCGAATGAGGCGAGAACTATTTGTTCAAATAGTTAACGGTATCTCTAACCATTCTATTTATTTTCAACAAAGAAAAGATGCCTTAGGAAACAATGGTCTTTCCCCTTTGCAAAAATGCACTGCTGCCATATGCCAGTTGACATATGGCACAAGTGGTGACCTCTTTGATGAATACATACGAATTGGTGAATCAACTTCAATCGAATGTCTACAAAACTTTTGTCGATGCGTGATTGAGGTTTATTCAAGCCATTATTTGAGAAAACCAAATGCTAATGACATCCAAAATTTACTACAAAAACATTCAGAAAAGCATGGGTTTCCTGGTATGCTTGGAAGTATTGATTGCATGCATTGGCCTTGGAAAAATTGCCCGGTTGCATGGCAAGGTCAATATACTCGAGGTGATCAAGGTTGTCTAACAATTATGTTGGAAGCAGTTGCATCACAAGACCTTTGGATATGGCATGCATATTTCGGGGTTGCCGGGTCTAACAATGACATTAATGTACTTAACTAGTCACCGTTATTCAATGATGTATTACAAGGTTATGCTCCTGAATGCAATTTTACTGTTAATGGAAGAACATACACAAAAGGATATTATCTTGCAGATGGTATATATCCTGAATGGGCTACAATGGTTAAAAGTTTTCCACATCCAGCCGACCCAAAAAGGATCAAGTTTAAAGAAATGCAAGAGGCTGCAAGAAAGAATGTGGAGAGAGCATTTGGTGTTTTGCAATCTCGTTGGGCAATTGTACGAGGTCCAGCAAGATCGTGGCAACTTAAAAATATAAAGGATATAATGTATACATGCATTATATTACATAATATGATCGTAGAAAATGAAGGAAATGCAATTAGTAATTGGTCAGATGATGTTGATCCTCCTATACGTGTGAATCGAGGACCTGTCGAAGAAGTTCAATATCAAATTCAAAGAAACTCTGAACTACGCGATAATGCCGTACATCATGCTCTTCGACATGATTTAATGGAGCATATTTGGGAACGTTTTATTAATATGTAATATCACTATGTTGTATTATAATAAATAAGATGTTATTTTTTTAAAATGTTTTTAAGATTTATATATTTTTTTTATTGTTTAGAATAAAAAATATGAAGTAACTTAATAAATTAAATTATTGAATATAAAATAAAATAAAGTATGATATATATATATATATATATATATATATATATATATATATATATATATATATATAGTTTATTGTAAAAAAAATATATTAAATATTACTTTCTATTGAGAAAGAAAAACAAAAAAAAAGTGTTTACAATAAAATGAGAAAAAAAATAATAAGCTTATATAATAAATTGAAAAATAAATAAATAATAATAAATAACAAAAGCCATACCACGGTTGAATGGGGATTAAACCCCTCATTCAATCAACCCCCTCCACAATGGTTTCTATGTTCATTCAACTGCCACCTAGATTTTTTTTCCCATTAAACTCCCCATTAAATGGCATTGGAGATGGCCTAACCTTCAATGCAGGTGATTTTAATCGATGAGTAGACGTTTTGTCTTTTCATATTTTTTTTTCACTTTTTTTTATCAACCATCTTAGCGATTCCCCTTGACCTATTTTTATAGAGTAAATTACACGAATGGTCCCTATGGTTTAGGGTAATTTTCACGTTTGGTCCCTAACTTAATTTTTTAACTCGGAAGATCTCTATTGTTTGTTTTTGTTATGCACTTGGTCCCTGTCTTACCTAAAAAGACTATTTTGCCCTTGATTTTTAAATTTTTTATTAAATAAACACACCCCAACCCTACCCATCTTACATTACCTTACTTATCTCACCATTTTCCCTATTTAAATAATAGTTTTTTTAGGTAAGATAGGGACCAAACGTGTAACAAAAACAAATTCTAGGGACCAAACGTGTAACAAAAACAAACAATAGGGACCTTCCGAGTTAAAAAAAATAAGTTAGGGACCAAGCATGCAAATTACCCAAAACCACAGGGGCCATTCGTGTAATTTACTCATTTTTAGAGAACTTGGTGTCTGTAGGGATGAACGTCTGAACTGGCCCGAAAACCAAACTTGGTGGAAAACAGGATCAGAATCGGACCGTTGGTTCTACCAGTTCTTGCCGTGTTTTTAATGTTGAAACTGATCCTCGAAAAATAGCAACATACGGTTCTAATTTTTGCCGCTTCAACTGGATTTTGGTGGTTCGATCGGTTCGCAGTTCAAAAAATCCACAATAATATCGTCCAGTTCCCGGCCCAATCAGTTTTATCTAGTTTCGGCCGGTTCTCCGATCCAAATGCTCTTCCACCTCCTCCTCCTCCTCCTCCTCTCTCTCTCTCTCTCTCTTTATATATATATATATATATATATATATATATATATATATATATATATATATATATAGGGGATAGGGAATATACATTACAGCCTCACCTAAGCTTAGGTACTAAACCTCTAAAATATGTCGTTTTAACATGCTAAATATACCCGGTTTGGTTTCACTTGGTAAATATAACATTCTCCATAATATTTCTTTCTTTCATTATCGTTTTATCATCTCCGTTTTCTTTCCTCAATTATCGTTTATTACTTCATCCAAGTGATCATTACTAAACCCTAAACCTAAACTTAAACCCTAAATACTAAAGCTAAACCCTAAACCCTAAATCTAAACACTAAACCCTAAACCCTAAACCCTAACGCTAAACCCTAAACCCTAAACCCTAAACCCTAAACCTTAACCCTAAACCCTAAACATAAACCTAAACCCTAAACCCTAAACCCTAAACTCTAAACCTTAAACCCTATTGTGTCGATCTTGAATTTACATCTTAAAGTATTAATCGTGAATCCATTAACCGTAATCTTTATATAGTAAAACAATGTATTTTCAAGAGGTTTAGTACCTAAGCTTAGGTGGGGTTGTAATGTATATTCCCTTTTCCCATATATATATATATATATATATATATATATATATATATATATATATATATATATATATATATATATATATATATATACTATTAAACCAAGAAACAAATCTTATCCATAGATTTTCATCATTTAGGATAGTGGTGATGGCATTTGATTTTCAAACTCTCTCAAACTCTTACTTCATTATATATATATATATATATATATATATATATATATATATATGCATCTTTCATTTTTACAATTAAATTTATCTTTTTAATTTTCAAACTCTCTCAAACTCTTACATTATTTTTGAAGAACACACAAACCCAAATGTCATCACCACCACCCACCACCACCGGTAGAGCACCATTGCCGAAAGATCGGCGTCACCACCCTTCTGTTGATGTTCCCTACTTTGATCTAATCTACAACTGTATCAACTCGGACGATATTACCTTCTCCGACGATTTCACATTCTTCATCATCTTCATTGAGTTCTCCAAATAGGCAACCTCATTTATCTATTTTTTTTTTCTTTATCTCCAGTGAACCACCATATCTATATTAGATTTGCATCAAATCTCATCGTCGTCACCTACCTCTCGTCGAAGTTCGCCATCATTTTTGAAGAACACACAAACCCAAATACCACCACCACCAGCAGAGCACCACTGCCGGAAGATCGTCGTCACCATCCTTCTGTTGATATTCTCCTACTTTTCTCTAATCTACAACCGCATCAACTCGGACAACATTACCTTCTCCGGAGATTTCACATTCTTCATCATCTTCATTTAGTTCTCCAAATATGCAACCTCATTTATGTATTTTTTTTTCTTTATCTCCAGTGAACCACCAAATCTGTATTAGATCTCATCAGATTTGCATCAAATCTCATCGTAGTCACCTACCTCTCGTCGAAGTTCACCTTTGTGTAATTTCTCCTTCAACATTATCTTCTTTGGTGACTTCAACTTTGTGCATTTTCAGATTAGATCTGAAATCCTTGTCGCCTCCCTCTCGTCGAAGTTCGTCTTCCTTGCTCTAATCATTATTTGGTATCTATTCCAATATCGTTACTTTCTCCAATGATTTCACCTTCTTCATTCTCTACCTCCACTTCGCCAAATCTATGACGAGATCCTTCCATTTCTCTATTTCTCTCCATTGAACCACCAGATATGCATCAGATCTCACCA